ATATACCATACCAATGATACACCATACCAATGATACACCATACCAATGATACACTGTACCAATGATACACCATACCAATGATACACCATACCAATGATACACCATACCAATGATACACCATACCAGTGATACACCATACCAATGATACACTGTACCAATGATACACTGTACCAATGATACACCAATGATACACCTTACCAATGATACACCTTACCAATGATACACCATACCAATGATACACCATACCAATGATACACCTTACCAATGATACACCTTACCAATGATACACCATACCAATGATACACCATACCAATGATACACCATACCAATGATACACCATACCAATGATACACCTTACCAATGATACACCATACCAATGATACACCATACCAATGATACACCATACCAATGATACACCATGATATACACCATACCAATGATACACCATACCAATGATACACTTTACCAATGATACACCATACCAATGATACACCATACCAATGATACACCTTACCAATGATACACCATACCAGTGATACACCATACCAATGATACACTGTACCAATGATACACCTTACCAATGATACACCAATGATACACCAATGATACACCATACCAATGATACACCAATGATACACCTTACCAATGATACACCAATGATACACCTTACCAATGATACACCATACCAATGATACACTGTACCAATGATACACCTTACCAATGATACACCATACCAGTGATACACCATACCAATGATACACCATACCAATGATACACTGTACCAATGATACATCATACCAATGATACACCTTACCAATGATACACCTTACCAATGATACACCATATTAATGATACACCATATCAATGATACACCTTACCAATGATATACCAATGATACACCTTACCAATGATACACCATACCAATGATACACTGTACCAATGATACACTGTACCAATGATACACCAATGATACATCAATGATACACCATACCAATGATACACCATACCAATGATACACCATACCAGTGATACACCATATCAATGATACACCATACCAATGATACACCATACCAATGATACACCATACCAATGATACACCATACCAATGATACACCATACCAATGATACACTGTACCAATGATACACCATACCAATGATACACCATACCAATGATACACCATACCAATGATACACCATACCAGTGATACACCATACCAATGATACACCTTACCAATGATACATCATACCAATGATACACTGTACCAATGATACACTGTACCAATGATACATCATACCAATGATACACCTTACCAATGATACATCATACCAATGATACACCATACCAATGATACACCATACCAATGATACACTGTACCAATGATACACCATACCAATGATACACCATACCAATGATACACTGTACCAATGATACACCATACCAATGATACACCAATGATATACCAATGATACACCATACCAATGATACACCATACCAATGATACACCATACCAGTGATACACCATACCAATGATACACCATACCAATGATACACCATACCAATGATACACCATACCAATGATACACTGTACCAATGATACACCATACCAATGATACATCATACCAATGATACACCTTACCAATGATACATCATACCAATGATACACTGTACCAATGATACACTGTACCAATGATACATCATACCAATGATACACCTTACCAATGATACATCATACCAATGATACACCATACCAATGATACACCATACCAATGATACACTGTACCAATGATACACCATACCAATGATACACCATACCAATGATACACTGTACCAATGATACACCATACCAATGATACACCATACCAATGATACACCATACCAGTGATACACCATACCAATGATACACCATACCAATGATACACCATACCAATGATACACCATACCAATGATACACTGTACCAATGATACACTGTACCAATGATACACCAATGATATACCAATGATACACCTTACCAGTGATACACCATACCAATGATATACCATACCAGTGATACACCTTACCAATGATATACCAATGATACACCAATGATACACCTTACCAATGATACACCATACCAATGATACACCTTACCAATGATACACCATACCAGTGATACACCTTACCAATGATACATCTTACCAATGATACACCTTACCAATGATACACCATACCAATGATACACCATACCAATGATATACCATACCAGTGATACACCATACCAATGATACACCATACCAGTGATACACCATACCAATGATACACCATACCAATGATACACCATACCAATGATACACTGTACCAATGATACACTGTACCAATGATACACCAATGATATACCAATGATACACCTTACCAATGATACACCTTACCAATGATACACCATACCAATGATACACCATACCAATGATACACCATACCAATGATACACCTTACCAATGATACACCTTACCAATGATACACCATACCAATGATACACCTTACCAATGATACACCATACCAGTGATACACCATACCAGTGATACACCTTACCAATGATATACCAATGATACACCAATGATACACCTTACCAATGATACACCATACCAATGATACACCTTACCAATGATACACCAATGATACACCAATGATACACCATACCAATGATACACCAATGATACACCATACCAATGATACACCATACCAATGATACACCTTACCAATGATACACTGTACCAATGATATATCATACCAATGATACACCTTACCAATGATACACCATACCAATGATACACCTTACCAATGATACATCATACCAATGATACACCTTACCAATGATACATTGTACCAATGATACACCATACCAATGATACACTGTACCAATGATACACCATACCAATGATATACCTTACCAATGATACACCAATGATACACCATATCAATGATACACCATACCAATGTTACACCTTACCAATGATACATCATATCAATGATACACCATATCAATGCCAATGATACACCATACCAATGATACACTGTACCAATGATACATCATACCAATGATACACCATACCAATGATACACCATACCAATGATACACCATACCAATGATACACCATACCAATGATACACCGTACCAATGATACACCATACCAATGATACACCATACCAATGATACACCTTACCAATGATACATCATACCAATGATACACTGTACCAATGATACACTGTACCAATGATACATCATACCAATGATACACCTTACCAATGATACATCATACCAATGATACACCATACCAATGATACACCATACCAATGATACACTGTACCAATGATACACCATACCAATGATACACCATACCAATGATACACTGTACCAATGATACACCATACCAATGATACACCAATGATATACCAATGATACACCATACCAATGATACACCATACCAATGATACACCATACCAGTGATACACCATACCAATGATACACCATACCAATGATACACCATACCAATGATACACCATACCAATGATACACTGTACCAATGATACACCATACCAATGATACACCATACCAATGATACACCATATCAATGATACACCGTACCAATGATACACCTTACCAAGGATACACTGTACCAATGATACATCATACCAATGATACACCTTACCAATGATACATCATACCAATGATACACCATACCAATGATACACCATACCAATGATACACTGTACCAATGATACACCATACCAATGATACACCATACCAATGATACACTGTACCAATGATACACCATACCAATGATACACCATACCAATGATACACCATACCAATACACCATACCAATGATACACCATACCAATGATACACCATACCAATGATACACCATACCAATGATACACTGTACCAATGATACACTGTACCAATGATACACCAATGATATACCAATGATACACCTTACCAGTGATACACCATACCAATGATATACCATACCAGTGATACACCTTACCAATGATATACCAATGATACACCAATGATACACCTTACCAATGATACACCATACCAATGATACACCTTACCAATGATACACCATACCAGTGATACACCTTACCAATGATACATCTTACCAATGATACACCTTACCAATGATACACCATACCAATGATACACCATACCAATGATATACCATACCAGTGATACACCATACCAATGATACACCATACCAGTGATACACCATACCAATGATACACCATACCAATGATACACCATACCAATGATACACTGTACCAATGATACACTGTACCAATGATACACCAATGATATACCAATGATACACCTTACCAATGATACACCTTACCAGTGATACACCATACCAATGATACACCATACCAATGATACACCATACCAATGATACACCTTACCAATGATACACCTTACCAATGATACACCATACCAATGATACACCTTACCAATGATACACCATACCAGTGATACACCATACCAATGAGTGATACACCTTACCAATGATACACCATACCAATGATACACCTTACCAATGATACACCAATGATACACCAATGATACACCATACCAATGATACACCAATGATACACCATACCAATGATACACCATACCAATGATACACCTTACCAATGATACACTGTACCAATGATATATCATACCAATGATACACCTTACCAATGATACACCATACCAATGATACACCTTACCAATGATACATCATACCAATGATACACCTTACCAATGATACATTGTACCAATGATACACCATACCAATGATACACTGTACCAATGATACACCATACCAATGATATACCTTACCAATGATACACCAATGATACACCTTACCAATGATACACCATACCAATGATACACCTTACCAGTGATACACCATACCAATGATACACCTTACCAATGATAAACTGTACTGTACCTATGATATAATTTATTCTATTTTGTTCCAGGTGTGTACGGATGAGGTGGAGCCGTTCTGTTTAGACACAGACTTTGACTATGATAATGTTATACTGACTCCTAAGTATTCCCAGGAGGATGTTATTCTCATGAAAACTCTGAGGGAACAAAATCAAGCAGAGAAAACAAATTCTCAAGAAAATGAGACCTAGCCATGACAATAAGAAATTGATCATTTATAGTCTACATTGTGTGCTCATTACAGTGAGACTTGGGTATACAGCCATCAGTTAGGGTTTTTTTTATTTTTTTGTTTCAGAAATTATATAAGTGTCACAAGAAGAAACTGGTTTTACCAACACGCTGCCTCATCTAACAAAGTTACTTTTGATGTTGGTAAAGACAGGTTCTATCCTGTAAACATTCCAGTAATCAGGGAACATTCTCATTTATCTTTTTTAACACGTTTACAATCTTTTTACACCAGTATGTTTCCGTCCAGTACTTTGATATTCATATTAAAAGATGAACATTTTTACGAAATGATATGATTTTCTTCTTATTTTTATTCTTTAAGTTTTATTTTTTATTTCTGAAATAGGAAATTAGGTACCTTCATTAAAAAATCCATGCAGTGACTTTGAATATTACCATTACCACTAAGTCAAAGCCTGTGTCTTTAAGCCTCACCAACTTACATCAACATTGTAAGTCACATTGAACCATGCCACCTTACACCACCAAGTTTACATGACATTAAACTTTACAATCTAACACCATCAAGCCAGTACATGTGACCTTGAGCCTCATAGTGTTGCATCTTAAAGTCAGTTTATTTGACCTTAAACCTCACCATATCAATACAAATCATATTGAACCTCACCACCATACACCTTTAGCTTAATTCACATGACCTTGAACCTTACCACCTTTCACTATATAGTCAATACATGTAACCTTGTGTCTGACTATCTTATATCACCATGTCAGTACATATGACCTTGAACCTCACCACCTTACATCATATAGTCAATACATGTGACCTTGAACCTCACCACATTACATCATATAGTCAATACATGTGACCTTGAACCTCACCACCTTACATCGTATAGTCAATACATGTGACCTTGAACCTCAGCACCTTACATCATATAGTCAATACATGTGACCTTGAACCTCACCACCTTACATCATATAGTCAATACATGTGACCTTGAACCTCGCCACCTTACACAATGAAGTCAAATCATTTCATTTCAACGAAATTTTGTTATACACAAACATAGAAATGGTTCAGATAACAGGCTTAACCTATATCAATCTTTTCCATTATTAAATACATGAACATAGATTTATGTTACTAGAACAAAAGGAAGGATTTCAATATATACAAGGAAGATTAGTCATTTTACACCTTGAAGTTAATGCATATGATCTGTAACTTGATCACCTAAAACCATCAAGTTAATATATGTGACCTTGAACCTCATCACCTTACACCATCAAGTTAATATATGTGACCTTGAACCTCATCATCTTACACCATCAAGTTAATATATGTGACCTTGAACCTCATTACCTTACACCATCAAGTTAATATATGTGATCTTGAACCTCATTACCTTACTCCATCAAGTCAAAACATTTAAGCTTGAGTCACTTTACAGGTACTGGTGACTTACCGTGTCGGTTTAAGAAATCCGTTAAATAAGGGATTAGAAAGCCAGAAGACAAAGTATAACTTACATCCGTCTGAAAGAAAAAAAAGATGTTATAAAGCGAAGGAATATAACTCTTGTGTGTATCATATTGATTGCAGTATGCGGTATCTTCTGGTCGTGGTTTTGTGATGTTTTGAAGACTTTGTAAGGTTTGTTTCCGAAACCCACATCTACAGCAGAGAGTAACAGTCTATATTAATTATCACAATTGTACAAAATACATTCAACCATAACGGTGGTGTGATGCCCCCAACATTTGGTGGTTTGTGCTCTGAATGTCCAGAAATTGACCTGTCTGTGCTACCTTACAATAGGTACTTTGGTTGGCATACGACGTAGCTTCCGTATATTGTTCAGTAAAGTAGTAGCGACCAGCAGCCGCCGTTTGAAATCAAGACACCTAACAACAGACCCAACATTACAGTAACAGATATGCGCTGATGATAAGGTAAACAATTATCGTTTATTTGCGCCTAACATCTTCCTTTGGACGAGTTTCCGTTATAGATTTGAAGTATTCTTATGATAATTATTAATATGTAGTGAGAGAGAGAACAAATTTACACGTCCTCATTACCATATTACATAACCGGTCTGTGCATTTCTTCTACTGTAATTTCTGTAGTTTTTTCAGGCGAGTCCAAGACAACAATTCAAAATGAGTGAGTCCCAAAGAAACCCAGTATCCAAATGTCTTGAGTCCCAAAAAACACTGTACTATAGTTTACTTTTGCTAACAGTGTGAATGTGTTGGGAGATCATTTTTAAATGCTACCAGCCTATAATATCTAACTGAACATTACGATTCGTTTAGGACTTCACTTTAGTAGAATTAGTTTTAAATTTTAATCCATGTGTACACATAAGGGGTTGACCCATAGAGTGGAGTGATACGGTTTTTGGTCATCATAGGGAATTAGGGATCAACATGGTGTAAGTTGGGAGTATACCCTGATGTGGGGAGGTCGGACAAATAAACATGGCTCATTGGGACATTTGAAACAATAGATTTGAGTATTTATGGACACGTTGATAAGTGAGCTCGTTCCTTTAAGAAAAATGACATTAGTCACAATTCTACTTAAGTCGAATTCGACATGGAGTCCAGTAAGTAAAATAAAGATGATGGTTTCTTTGGTTGACAGAACCCCTGTACAAATCAACCCCGCATACGGGTTTGGTGAGACAGGTATGTGTTCAATGATCTTTATTTCACAAACTTCCTCTAGATGTTATATTCTGTATATACCCTACATGTTATCTGATATCTTTGATACTAACGGACATCTAATAGGCAACAGGGATTTTTGGCACCGAACGAACAAGGACACATTTTATAGGGAAAGCTGTTTCCTGCAGTCTGAGAAATTAATATGTTATGTAGTAAATAAATAAATTAATTAATAAAAACGCGCCAATTGAAGTGTTCACAACTTCATGAAAATTCTACTGATCCTGTTGTACTGTTGCCATTGATCACACTTCCTGGCATGTCTTCTGATAATACTATAAAACCCGCATCAATGTTCACCGTAACTACTTTCGTAGATAATTAAAGTTCTAGTGTAGGAAGGAGATATAATTTCATTAGAGAAGTTTTGCTTTAAGTGACATGTTTTCGAGTCTGTGATACCGCTGTGTTTTCATGTGTTGGCAATGGTCAGCTCACCTTTACTTTAATGGTCGGCAGTTTAGTACCAACCGGGTGTAATAAACGCATCACAGATAACGTGACTTTTTCACGATACATCCCACTCACCTCGGCAAATTGAATCTAAAGCATTAAAAATCTTAACAACGCAGATTGGAGAAAAAACGAAAAGAATTTTAAAATGACTTTAAAAAAATCCACCTTATGTGAAAGTTATAAAACGTTTTAAGTATTTTGTGGTACGAAGAACGATTTCCCAGGGGGTGTCCCCATATACGAGGCGAGCACCGAGGGCGTCCGAATGTAATGGCCACGCGAGTTAGGTACTTGATCCAGCCGAATTTTGTTATAGGTTATCACACGTTCACAGACCGATTCAGCAATAAACATTCCATTTCTTTACGAAAAATAATCAAAGCGCATATTTAGAAATAAATAAATAAAATCACTTTTGGTTTATATCCGCGACAGTGTATGAGGTAGTCTGGTCTTAGATATGCAACAACGAAATAAACATATCTTAAAGTAGGACAATTTTATTGTCTCAATAATTTTCCGAAGGTGCTACACACGATTTTGGACACCTAATTTTCAAGTACACTGTCAGACCAAGGGAGACAACCCTTTACTCTTGCCAGATTTAATCGATTCCAATAAATCGAATGTCATTATTATGTCAGCGAGAGAAGTATAGGGGGAAAAAACCAATGTAACAGAAAGTATTTTATCTTTTTGCATAGCGATGGACACGTTTCAGGATATGTAATAAAACCATATTTTATAAAAAAATAAAATAACCTAAACGCTAACTCCTACTTATCAACTCATGCGATGTCCGCCCCATAGGACGTGCAATGTACGTGCATGTTGAACATTTTGTTTTGAAATGAATGACACAAGTCCTCCGAGATATCCATCGCGAAATCTGTTTAATAAATCGACAAACTTCCTTAACGAGACTAGCCACGGTGTTAGCCCACATACACGTGACGTCTGAGTGCTCCGGGGCTGGAGATGGAGATGAAAACATCCCGAGGTTAGGGAAGCAGATTTTGAGAATCCAATCCTGGTCTGGAGAAATATGTCGGCATTTATAGCGTCCCTTGGAAATTGTAGAGTCACAATCTTCCACTCAATTTATACATTCATTCACTTTATATTCCATAGCGGTTAATTTTCCACTAAATTTAATCGTATGGGTTGGTCCTTTAAAGTTTGACCCTCATAAATAAATCCAATTAAATTCAAATAATTGTTTTATTGTGAATTTTTCATCCCTACGTGCGGATAAATTCTAAAAATATCTCGATTTCGATTCAGCAGTTGTCATGGTAACCAGTCTGATTCTGAATTTGTCCGATGATTTTGAATTCATTCTGGTCATTTTTTTCCTGGTCTAATCTGATTAAACACAGATCTGTAATTCCACTTTGATACTACACGTTCCAGCCAACTAGAGGAGTATCCGAATGTAATCAGATATCTGGTTTAATCAGGTTGGTCCTGGTTTGTTCAGTTTTTAACTGGGGAGGAGATTGTACAATAGTACAGCTCCACAAAACATTATAGGCTTACGAAAGGGTTTAAGAGAAAATAGAAATGACCTACATTGAGTCACCTGATTGATCATATAGATTCTCTTTAGGTATACCCGATTCTTCCGAAATCTAGACCCCTCGCACACCCATTTGTTTGTGCTAGTTCGTGGCTACAAAAATGTTACTCACTGAACAACATACAGGATGATTGTCAAAAGACAGTGACGACAGTACATATCGGTCCATTTCCCGAGAAATCGTGGATAGGTTGTATGGAACCGTGCACCTTGATGTTTACCTGAAGTTAAGTAGGACAACGCTCTACCGACTGTTCCACCATCCGTGCTAACAAGACAGATGAGTAAACGTTGATATATCGTTTCACAAGCGTTGTAAAGTAAATAAAGGATGCCTCCCTCGTTCAGGCGAGGATAGGTCCAGCTCCCTGACCAAAACAAACCATGCTGAGTCCTCAAAGTCGATACTTACCGGTCTTGTTTTTTTAATAAAGAGCGTTACGATTTGACCGGATGGGAGACATGTTACTCCTGCCAGTCCAGGTTATGGCATTTCTGTGCACCATTGAAACAAATCTCGATGGCGAATAACTTCATTCGTAAATAGATCAATTAAAATGGGTTGAATGTAAGATGAAATTTATAAATCCGATAGCTTCTAGGTTCAATTATATGTGTAATTTTGAAGAATGTGACCTGTTGTGTGGTTATTGGGTTTGTGATAACTTCTTTTGTACTTGAGAAGCGTATGTAAAAACTAGATCTAGCAGGGTACCCCGTCCAGGGCACCAGACGTGCGTGATGTGTCGCGATACATTTTTGAGGTTTTTGTTTTTAAATTTAATTTTACAAATATAATTATTTGGCCTTTCGGGTTTAAATTGTTTTTATCCACGTGTATGCACGGTTCCTTTGGCCGATAGCCTGATAATTGATAGCTAATCGCCTTCTGAGTACATGAAAAGTGATTTTTATATCACATGCAAAAATGCATGTCAAACCTGTGGAAGAGTAGAAAGCAATTTTCTCTAGGTGATATACCCATATAATGTATAAATAAACATTCGTGAAAGGTCGCCCCTTCAACCGTTAAAGTTCTTCTCTAAAAATTAAACGAAAGAAAGCGATCAAAATTTGGTAAATTGAAATTGATTTGAACTCGTGTGAAATTGGACCCCTAGTAGCTATATTTCTCAGGTCTTTGGTCCCGAGAGGCTACAACACAATCAACAATAATAATAAAGATACTCGCTGAGAATCCACTGTAATTAAACTGTCTCCACCGAAATTTATAATACAGAAACATTTCCTATTTAAACGCTTTCGACGTGATATGCGATTTAAACTAGTGTAGCGTATTTCACCTTGTACGTGACATTAGCGATTTCCTCCACACCCAATTCTAGTTAAACATCTCAGTTTTATGTATGTAATTAACTCCCTTAACGAATTTCCTTCAGACCTCCCCTTCGCCCTCTCTCTTCTTCTCCCTGTTATTTATCTCTTGTTCTCTGTACACATACATTCTGTTTTCCTCTAACATTATAATATACCTACTACTGCACCAAGCGTCGCTCTTTATCATTGTAACGACACGTTCGTTGTGACACTCGCCACATGACAAAATCATCATTGCAACACTCTCGACATCACTTCATATAGAGACTGGAAGTTTTCAACTCGATTAAATTGCTTTTCGTGAGTTACCTATTCATTAATAGTAACTATAATTAAATATGTATAAATGTTAATCGCCAGTAAACGACAAAAACGTCACTGCATGCAACACAACATCCATATACGACACATAAAGTCACTGCATGCAACACAACATCCATATACGACACATAAAGTCACTCCAGAAAACACAACATCCATATACGACACATAAAGTCACTGCATGCAACACAACATCCATATACGACACATAAAGTCACTCCAGAAAACACAACATCCATATGCGACTCATGGCGTCATCACAGATTAAAACATCCATATACGACATATACAGAAGACAGAACATCAGGTAGGATATATAATGCCTTTGCATAACATCTTATTATACAAGATGTCTCACATTTGCTTCGCAATTGCCTATGCTTCTTTGCCAACATACGTATGTTCGCGTTGTCGCCATGTAGCCGTCGTAAGTTCGCGGTGCAATCGTATGTTGGCGTTGTCACCATGGTGCCGTCGTATGTTGCTCTTGTCAACATGGTGCCATCGTATGTTGGCGTTGTCGTCATTGTGCCGTCGTATGTTGCCTTTGTCGTCATGGTGCCGTCGTATGTTGGCGTTGTCGTCATGATGCCATCGTATGTTGGCGTTGTCACCATGGTGCCATCGTATGTTGGCGTTGTCACCATGGTGCCGTCGTATGTTGCTCTTGTCAACATGGTGCCATCGTATGTTGGCGTTGTCACCATGGTGCCATCGTATGTTGGCGTTGTCGTCATGATGCCATCGTATGTTGGCGTTGTCACCATGGTGCCATCGTATGTTGGCGTTGTCACCATGGTGCAATCGTATGTTGGCGTTGTCACCATGGTGCCGTCGTAGCCTAAGTTGGAGATGTCGTTGTCACCATGGTGCCATCGTATGTTGGCGTTGTCACCATGGTGCAATCGTATGTTGGCTTGTCACCATGGTGCCATGGTGCTATGATGCGTATGTTGGCGTTGTCGGTGCATTGTTGCGTTGTCACCATGTGCGTATGTTGCCTTGTCACCATGGTGCCGTCGTATGTTGCTCTTGTCAACATGGTGCAATCGTATGTCATGGTGCCGTCGTATGCGTTGTCGTCATGATGCCATGGCGTTGTCGTCGTTGTCATGGTGCCATCGTATGTTGGCGTTGTCGTCATGATGCCATCGTATGTTGGTGTTGTCACCATGGTGCCATCGTATGTTGGCGTTGTCGTCATTGTGCCGTCGTATGTTGCCTTTGTCGTCATGGTGCCGTCGTATGCTGGCGTTGTCGTCATGGTGCCATCGTATGTTGGCGTTGTCGTCATTGTGCCGTCGTATGTTGCCTTTGTAGTCATGGTGCCGTCGTATGCTGGCGTTGTCGTCATGGTGCCGTCGTATGCTGGCGTTGTCGTCATGGTGCCATCGTATGTTGGTGTTGTCACCATGGTGCCGTCGTATGTTGCTCTTGTCAACATCGTGCAATCGTATGTTGGCGTTGTCGCCATGGTGCCGTCGTATGTTGCTCTTGTCAACATGGTGCCATCGTATGCTGGCGTTGTCGTCATGTTGCCGTCGTATGCTGGCGTTGTCGTCATGGTGCCATCGTATGTTGGCGTTGTCGTCATGATGCCATCGTATGTTGGTGTTGTCACCGTGGTGCCATCGTATGTCGGTGTTGTCACCATGGTGCCATCGTATGTTGGCGTTGTCGTCATTGTGCCGTCGTATGCTGGCGTTGTCGTCATGGTGCCATCGTATGTTGGCGTTGTCGTCATAGTGCCATAGTATGTTGGCGTTGTCGTCATGGTGCCGTCGTATGTTGGCGTTGTCATCATGGTGCCATCGTATGTTGGCGTTGTCGTCATGGTGCCATCGTATGTTGGCGTTGTCGTCATGGTGCCGTCGTATGTTGGCGTTGTCACCATGGTGCCAACGTATGTTGGCGTTGTCGTCATGGTGCCGTCGTATGTTGGCGTTGTCGTCATGGTGCCAACGCCATGAAACACATAAAACTGTTTATGATATGTAATTAGAAACCAACACAAAAAACGACACGTTTCTCTGAATTTTCCAATTAATTTTAGATATTTCAATTTAGCTGAATTTATCTTTCACTTTGTAAAACCTAAAAATTTTAATATATCTGCCTGTGGAGAATCGAGACAAGAATCTTAAGAACAACGCGATGCGACGGAAAAAACTTTTATAATAAATATATTTATATTAGATATGAACTATTAATCCATCTATGTCGTCAGTTGGCAGTCTTTTTAAGATATCAATGACTGATAGATGTTTTCAACTTGGACGTATAATCGTGTGTACTTAAGAGTACTACCGCCATCCTGTCACAGTCAATTAAAGACCTGCTGAGAATTGTTAAAACATTACTCTCGATGTTTGTCTCAGTTGATTTTAAAGCTATCCTTGCTCGAGTTTAAAACGTCCATATAATAAATACACACATGAGTTATTGCGGTTCCGCAGCGTTTTATGGGAAGACTATCTGATAAGTTTGATAAAATAAGAAGTATTTTATGTGAGCGCAATAGGACGTAAAGGCACAACTCCATGGTGGGTCTCTTGTTTTTACTTAACTCGGCCAGCATTCCTTAGACATATAACTACTTAATTCATGAAATTTGACCCCAGAAATATGCATCTTGCTAATATTAATCTGGATGGAATTTCTGAGATCTGTCTGATGAACTAGTCTTGATGGATGTCAAATGTTTACTGGTGAAATGAAAAATTCTTTCCTTGAATCACTAAATCACGTCCAACTTCATGCAGTTTGCACCATGATACCCGGAGGTTAAATTTTTGAAGTTACTAGATATTAAAACATTCGTGAAAAATATGAAAATTACAATTATGTATACTTTTGTAAAGAGGTTACTCGCTTCATATTTTTTTCTACATTTTAGCCCAAATACTCAAACATCCAACACGCACTGAAAACATTTCTTATCTCAGTCTTTTCACAAGTCCAACTAAAATCGACTGTAATGTACTACAGACGAACGTACAGAGGTACTTAGTGACGTACTACAAACGAACGTACAGAGGTACTTAGTGACGTACTACAGACGAACGTACAGAGGTACTTAGTGTGCGAGAAGGGATGGAACAACTTCTTTTCGGCTGTGCTGTAATCTTATGTACACTAAAATTTGAAACAGTTTGGTTAAAAGATAATTAAAAAGTACAAAAAGTTTAAAATGTACAGTGGTCAATTCTGCTCCGTTTTGTTTAACATATGGCCATAGATGTGAGAGAGTCAGTGAACCTGCTCGGCCTTGTTAAGTACTGGCCCACTGCGACGTATCTAGATATCCTCCTTAACCAGTCGGCTGAAAAAAATGTTTTGCCTAATGTTTTATTTTGCTGTGTGGAATGATCTTTAAGTGGCGATTTAATCATCTGAGACTGAGAATGTTTTCACTCTGATCTACAGAATCTTTTTGCCTTCTTACGCGTCTTTCTGATGTTAATTAAGTCGGACCCCGAATCTCTGTTTCTCCGATATACGATGGGTCGCTGTTCTTGTATGCGATCGTGTATACGTATTCCGTGATGTTACCTTAGGGTGGGCTTGGACATTTCTTCAGAAAGTCTTGCGTGATTTTTTGCCAATACCATGACCAGGGTAAATTTTCAGTCAGGGCAAACCAAATGTTAACAACAAATTTGAAGAAAAGCAGACAGACTAAAAGACAAAACACCAAAGTAAAGCAGAAAAATATGAAAGGACAGGTAGTCATCCTCAGCGTCAAAGGCTTGTTAGAAACCATTCGGAGGATTTACCGTGGTCACGCTTTTGCAACAGCCATGAAACCTCACAAGACTATCCGAACTGTTATATAGTCTTAGTAATTGTCGGAACACACTTGACTGATTGATTGATTAACGTTTAAAGTGATTTCACCATGACTAAACTAACTTCACGGAAATGAATAAAACGACGCCAAATCTAACTTTGTTGCGCTAAATTATGGTTTCAATAACGAAAAAAAAAAAAGTTTTTAAAAGGCGTCGATACTGTCAGAAAACATCGCTGGCAGACCTAGAAAACATCATTGGCTGGCGGCCTAGAAAACATCATTGGCTGGCAGACCTGGCAAACATCGCTGTTAAACCTGGAAAACATCGGTGCCAGAGCTAGAAAACATCGTTGGCATGCCTGGAAAACATCGCTGTCACATCAGATGACCTTTGAAGTGAACGTAGGTCAGACATAACGCCTATGACACTGAGAAGGATTCTAGGAAGGTGGGCGGAAAGAAGATGACGTTCACATTGATCAGGCGCACGATTGATTACGTCACAAGCCACGAGACACGTTGTTGACATGCGGATATATTGCAGTGCTACTCTCGAAAGAAACAAATTGCCGTAATTTTGAAAAGTTTAGGATTATTTCGTTAATCTTTCAATTAAACCGGTAGCTTGACATATACGTGGAGCGCGCAGCTCATGAGATTGAACGATTGTTCCCATAGCAATCGAAGACAGGTTGTAGTTTATCTAATTATCCTGGTCACGTGTTGGTGTATTAACACGAACGTTTGAAATTTGAAACCCATTCAACGATATTTAATTGGATGTCTGTGATAAACTCAATAAATTTTAATAAAAAATCACAAATGTGTCATCGTTTTAAATGTTGGCGGACTACAACAAAAGGTAATGGGTTTGTGGGGTTAGTCGATTATCTAGTCGTCGAAGATGGGAGGGAAACAACACGATATTACTGATAACAAATGAATTATCCCCATCTTCTTGTCACGATGTGCACTGCGTATGCTATGAGTGCCTATGCTTTATAAATAAGATTAATTTTCGGATTGAGTGAGAGAGTGGGAAATTAGAGAAGCACATGGCAGGGTTGCCTGCCGAGCAACGTAGTTGAGTTGAAGCTTACGATAGCAGCCCCATACTGTGACACTGTTAGCGTGAAACCATTCTCCGACACAGAGTACACGGCAAAACTATTTGAGAGTTAATTCTACAAGATCTGCATTCCACTCTGTTTAAAATATTGAAAATTTTAATGGATATTTTTTGTTCCACTTCTCCAAAGAAGATAGGATTGAAGAGTTCTCACCATGCAATGTCATTTGACAAACAGTTCTTTTCATGCAAGATCTAAAAGCACACACCAAACTTGGATACATCGCGATTATTTCCGAACTTCCATGGGCACCAGGGTTAACAACATGACGTACAAACCACTCTTTTCCTCATTACCGACTTAATTAAGCTGTGTAAGATTGAAAACGAAACTTGGGTGGTTTAAGGACTGTTAGCGTTGGAGCCCCTTTTTTTGCAAGATATACACAAGTGATTAAATAGCGACACAGTTTGTACGTCATGCGCTAGCTTTAGTAGCCAGATCCGAAAACGGAGACAAAGCTACATTGTTTATTGCTTCAAAGACAAAGCAGCTTGGTCAAACAAAACATTGAAAATCACTATTAAGATTTCTGCATTATCAAAATCTAACATTAAGGTCAAATTTGTAACTTCATGATTATCGCTGTGAAAACACAATTGACATCAGAGGACCATCACTTTCGATAAAACAGAAATTGTGTTAGTATGTAGGACTGTGGTGGTTAAATGTCCACCAACTGCGGGATGAGGGAAGAATATAGGGTTAAGTGAGCCCTCTTTATCAGCTGTGTCAGGTGTGGATATACAATGCCATTTTCTAGATAAGAAAATCAGTTTGACAAATTGAGTCATGTCCTTGTTGGTTATGTTCAAACGTACCTACTGCAGTGTTTACCACATTTTTTTGTTTCCACAGTGCCGCACGTGATCCTATACATTATATATGTAAACAGTTTGTCCCTGCAATGAGCCATTTAAATCACATACAGTCAGAAAGGAAATTTTATTTTCATTTCTTCTATATAACTATCATTTTTTTCTATTATTTTGTAAACAAAAAATATAAACTCAGAATTGACTTATTGACTGTTATTTATAAACGTAGGTCATAAATCTTAGTGAGAAATACCATGTACGAGTTCAATGAATTCGAGATTTGCTCTGCCTATGCATTTATATTGAATAGAAGCATTGCCACAGTAGAGAAAAATATCTTTTTAAAAATGCTGTGGTTAATCAATTTTTGATCATTGTTCTTTTTTTCGTTAGTGTAATCGGTTATTTAAGATAGAGTTAACGGTAGATGTTGTAGATTCCTTCCGATCCGAATCCTTGATCAAGAGTTTTCACTTGTTAATTTTCAAATTTTAATTGCTACAGTAATAACCAATTGTTTTGTTCAAATGATTCATAAGATATTGTTAACCTGAATTTATGCTATCAGGGATTTAAATTCAAAACGACTGCTATATGTACCGTACTATTAAGGACTTGCAGATGTAACATATATGTAGGCTACAACAGATACATATATAGCCATGGATGTACGGGCCTCCGAGTCCAAGTCTGTGAAAATCACTCATCTATGACTGACCCAATTCTACCTGTACGCGCACGTGCCTATGGCTCGACAAGCGCTAAGGGGACGTAACCCATGTTTCCCGTAGAAATAAATATAGTTGCAAATGAACCAAATAGCTTAAAAATCTCACCATATTTGAGCTTTTTCGTGAAAATATTGCCACGTAATTTGTTATTTTGAACATAAATACCTCTCGACGGGTTGGATCTATTAGTTGCATTGATTTTTAATTGAAACTGTGGACCATGTATGCAAATGAGTTTTTACCAACACAGGCGACTTTATGGACCATATATAAGAAATACACGAAAGGGTGGATGGTGGGCATGGTTAAGGTTAAAAACAGCAGCGCCAAATAAATTATATAAACTGCACCTAACCACTTACTCCTCTCGTCAGCAGTATTAAGGGCTAAAATTTGGAATCCCAAATACGGGACTACTTCAAATACAAAATGATCGAAAGACACTGGACAAATGTCGTTTGTGTTTAACTTCTACTGTAAAT